CCAAGCTGGTCTCAAACTCGCAATGATCCTCCTGCCTCAGTCTCCTGAGTGCTGGGATTACAGGGGTGCGCCACCATGCCCAGCCTAACTTTTCATTTGTATGGGAGTTTGCAACTAAGAGTTTGCTGTACATCTGGGAGGAGACTTGGGACTTGGACTTTTCAGCATTGCTGAAACTGTTAAGATTTTGACAACTCTTGCAGATGGACTAACTACCTTTTGCATAAAGGGGTGTGCATGAGTCTTTGGGGAGCCAACAGTAGAATGTTATGGTTCTAGTTTAATATAATGTTGATAGACTTAATGCTGGTTCTTAAGGATGGTAAACCTGTGTTACAATGTTCAAGTTGTGAAATAAAAACAAGCATGTCTTTGTATCTGGAAACTGGTTTAAAGAAATGTTTCTGGTTGCCAAGTTGACAAGGGGTGGATTGTAATGGTTGATACATTCTGTGAACTTCAGAAGTTTAGAAGTTTAACTCAGCAGGGGCCAGGATTCTTACTTGTACACATCCTCATCCCGTGTGAAAGGAGGGCATAGAGATGATATGAGTGCACAAGATTGTATGAGTGCACAAAGTATGCACTTAGTATTTTTTAAAATGGGAATAGTTATGAAGAGAGCACATGTGAACCTCAGTTCACGAACTTAATTTGTTTTATGATTTGGGGGAAGATGGCCACAGTTGTGTTTGTCACCCGATGTGTAGTCTGTGAGTGGAAGCAAAATTTTGTTGAACACTTTTGTTTGAGAACTGAATATTGCACACAGAAGCATTTATGAACCAAGGTGTTACTGTACTTGAATGTATAAGGCCTATATGTGGTCTTTTTGAAAAAATCATGGTTATTTGGGGTATAGCTTAGTGGTAGGCTGTAGGCTTAGTATGAACAAAATCCTATGTTCAGGGGCTGGGGATTTAGCTCAGTGGCACAGCGCCTGCCTGGCAAGCGCAAGGTCATGAGTTTGATTCTCGGTACCGGAAAAAAACCAAAACAAAACAGACAAAAAAACAAGAAAAACAAAAATCCTATGTTCAATCCCCAGAACCAAAAATACATAAATAAAAATTTTGCTGGGCATGGTAGTACATGCCTCTAATTCTAGCACTTAGGGGCTGGGGCTGCCTGGCAAGCGCAAGATTGTAAGTTCGATCCATGGTACCACAAAAAAATAAAATAAAAAAATAAAAATCTAGCACTTAGGAGGCTAAAGCAGGAGGATTGCTCTGAGTTTAAGGCTAGCCTAGGTTACAGAGTGAATTCAAGGCCAGCCTGGACTACAAAGTGAGCTCAAGGCCAGCCTACTGCATGCATAATGAGACCCTGTCTCAAAAAGACAAAAAAAAAAAAAAAAAAAAAAGGCACAGTAAATATTTCCACTTTATCTATTCACTTGTCGTGGACATTTTGGTTGTTTTCTACCTTTTGGTGATTGTCAATAAATACTGCTATGAATATTGGTGTAGGGGGCTGGGGATTTAGCTCAGCAGCACAGCGTCTGCCTGGCAAGCGCAAGGTTGTGAGTTCGATTCCCGGTACGCGGGGTTGGGGGGGGGGAGAGAATATTGGTGTAGGGATATCTTAGTCTGAGTCTGTTTTCAGGGGCTTGGTATATACCTAGAAATGCAATTGCTGGATCATGTAGTAATTTTATATTTAAATTTTTTTTGTGTGTCTTCTTGATACATGGTATAGCTATAAAGTTCAGGCTGGCCTTGAGCTCACTTTGTAGCCCAGGCTGGTCTTGAACTCACAGTGATCCTCGTGTCTTAGCCTCCTGTGTGCTGGGATTACAGGCATGTGCCACCTCGCCTGGCTATATTTAAATTTTTGAGGAACCACCATACTAATTCTGCAGTAGCTCCACCATTTTACTTTCTCACCAGTGACCTGTAAAGGTTCTAATTTCCACAGATAATTGTGCAAACACTTGTTACTTTGCATTGTTTTTAAGTCTCATTATGTAGTTCAGTCTTGAACTATGTAGCCTCAGCTGGGCTCAAATTCCTGGTGATGTTTCTGCTTCAACCTCCTGATAAACAGAAAATTTTAATGTATGTTACTTGTAAGCAACAATCATATTTTCAAGGCAGGGTGTAGTGGCGCCTACCTGTATTCCCAGAACTCAGGAGGCTGAGGCAAGAGGATTGCTAAGAGTTCGAGGCAATGCTGGGCTACATAGTGAGTTCAGGACCAGCCTGGACTACATAGCAAGACACTGTCACAAAAAACAAAACCAAAACAAAGTGAAACAAAAAAATCAGATTTTCAATAGAGTTAATAATTCTGGGATTTTGTTTATACCACACACACTTTATTCAAGAGGCTAGCTGGGATCACAGTGAAGGGGAACAGTTTCAGATAATAATAAAGTTTAGCTTAAAAGCCCCTAGGAAGCCGGGTGTGGTGGCGCACACCTGTAATCCCAGCCCTCTGGAAGGCTGAGGGAGGAAGAGTCAAAAGTTTGAGCCCAGCCTGGGCAGTTGAGCAATTTAGCAAGACCCTTCGTTAAAACATTAAAAAGGGTCTTGGGACGTGGCTCAGTGCAAAGGCCATGGTTCGGTGCTGGGTGCTCCATTTTCTGTTTTTGTTTTTGTTTTTTAAATACTACATCTGTGAAGCTTGCTCTGGTTTTTTTAATGACTTTGCTAATAACTTCATTTTGTTAACCTATTTCATCACATATGTTTGGTCTTGGGCTGGAGATCTGTGTTATCCTCAATGTTGTATGAGCTGGAGATAATTGATCCAGGGTGCCTAGTTTGACTGTGTGTGTAATTAACTCAGTGATTAGTAATTCTTATTCTGGTTAGGGTGCTGTAAATGTAGGGGCCTACGTATTTTTTCCATTTCTCCCTTCACCAGTTTCTATTCTATTGCAAATTTCCTGATTCCCAGTGAATTTTCAATGAGACTGGTTTTACTGTGGTACTGTACCAGTAGGCATTGATTTTTATTCCTTAAAAAATGTATTCATTCATTTTTTTATTCATTCACTTTGAATAGGATACATAGTGCAAGAGTAATGTGTCCTTTGCTTCTGTTCTTCCCTTCACAATCCTATCTTAATTATTATTATTAGATTCTTTTATATCTTCAAATATGTTTATACTTGTTTCTTAGTTATCAGTTTTGAAAGATATTTTAAAATTTAAAGGTATGGTCGGCCATGATGGCACATGCCTGTAATCCCAGCACTCAGGAAGCCAAGGAAGGAGGATTACAAGTTTAAGGCCAGCACAGGATACATAGTCGGTAAAGGGCCAGCCTGGGCTACACAACAAAACCTTGTTTTAAAAGCAAAAAATAAAAAATACCTGGTGCAGTAGCTGTCATCCCACTAGGCTGAGGGAGAATTACTTCGAGTTTGAGGCCAGCCTGAGTACACCTGTTTCAAACAAGAGAAAACAATATAAAACAAAACAAAACAAATTTAGAGCCATAAAAATTAAAGAGTCCTGGGGGCTGGGGATATAGCTCAGTGGCACAGCGCCTGCCTGGCAAGCGCAAGGTCCTGAGTTAGATTCCTGGTACAAAAATAAAATTTAAAAATCCATATATTTACACTGTCTTCTCTACTAACTTGTTAGCTCTTTCTCTTTTTTTAGCTATTATTTCTTGACTCCTTTTTAATCATTTATTTCCAACTCTTTCACTTGCTTTTTGCAACCCCATCCATTTGTCACCAAGCCAACATCATTTTTTATTTTTTTGAACTGACCTTCACTTTGGAGATAATTTATTTTTAAAACATTCCTCTTCTGTTATCTGCCATTTCTTCCAGTTGTCTCATCATCTCTTTGAATGATTGCATCTCTGCTTTGATCTTTTTAAATTTTTTGATCTCTTTTTTAAATGTACTAAAGCCCTTTGAGTTCATTGTGATTATCATTTGTTTCCTTTCTCCTTCTTGCCAGCCTGCCTTCTTCCCTCCTCTTCCTCCTCCTCTCCTCTCCTCTCTTCCCCACCTCCCTTCCCCTCCCCTCCCCTCTCTTTCATCTGTCATTTGTGTTTCTTGTACCCTGCCTCCCTCTCCTGTTTTCTGTGGTAATACATTTATATAGGTCTGGTGCTGTCTCTTTTTTTATTATAGATCCTCTTTAAATGAAATAATTGCTGGATGTAGTGGCACCCCCTGTAATCCCGGTACAAGATCGTAGGTGTGTGCCACCATGCCTGACAAGAAAAAATAGTTTAGATCCCATCTCCTCCTCTACTTTTATTTTATTTTTATTTATTTATTTATTTATTTGGTTGTTTTTTTTTTTTTTTCCAGTACTGGGAATCGAACTCACAACCTCACGCTTACCAGGTAGGAGCAGTGCCTCTGAGCTAAATCCCCAGCCCCTTCTCCTCTACTTTTTTTTTTTTTTTTTTTTGCCTTTTTGAGACAGGGTCTCACTATGCAGTTCAGGCTTACCTTGAGCTCACTTTGTAGTCCAGGCTTTCCTCGAACTCACAGTGATCCTCCTGCCTCATCCTCCTGAGTGCTGGGATTACAGGCGTGCGCCACCACGCCCGGCTTCTCCTCTACTTTCAAAAGGGTCCCAGGGTCTTTTCTATCACTAAGGTCCTTTGAATATTTGATGCCACATTTAGTTGAGGGCTTCTATTTTTCTGAGTTTTTCTGATTATCGTGACTTAACAAGACTTATGGTATAATGCCATATACCGCCTTAGGGGCTCAGGTTCTCAGCCTCTGAGTGAATTCCAGGCTAAGGTGTTGAATGTCCCTGCCCATAGCCCAGAAGCCTCCTGCTTGCTTTAAGGTGGCCCTGTGACTCTGCAGTCACTTCATCACCTTGAGCACCAGTGTCCTCATGTATGGAGTTGAGTTTAAGTTCTTTCACCTTGTGGTGGTTGTGAGATTAGCTGAGATAATGCCCAGGAGTGCTTGGTAAATGTGAGTCCTTTCCATTACCCCCTCCGCCCTCTGGAATCTTTCACTGTGATATAAGTAGATTCTGGAATTAGATTTTTTTCAGAGTTAGGCTTCCTGCAGCTGTTGGTAGGATGTGAGGAGTGGAGAGGACCTCTTGCCTTGCCACTGAGGGAAGCTGTTTGCTTCTAGTATAACTGCATCTTTGGGGCAAGATTCGTCATCCTCCTCTTGAGACGAAAAGGGGTTATTTGCCATTTGCTGATTCAGGAGCCATGAGAAGACATATGGTGTCTCATTCCTGGCAGGTCTTGAAAAAGGAACTGGTGAGGAGGGACAGAGCCTCTGGGAGGGGATCCCTGAGTGGGTGACTGAACAAACACGCATTACGAGGAAAGAAGAGGCAGGTATGGGAAGGGCTGTGGATAAATGGTGAACAGCCTGTACCATTTGGAGCCAGCCACAGCGTGGCACAAAGGAAGGCGCTCCAGATGAGTCCCAGAAGGACTGACTGCTGCGCTATAGCCTACTACCCCCTGTATACCATGCAAGCCCCAGGCCACACTCTGCGCCCTAGACTCCTGCTCTGTCCCTACCCTTTCTGCTGCTGAGAACGTGAGAGTTCCCAGGGTCGCAGGGCAAACTGTGCACTCTGGAGTCATACTGCCTGGATTTAAATCCCCATCATCTATTAGCCGTGTGACCCTAGGCAAGTTACTTGTTTGCTGTGCCTGTTTTCTCCTCTCTAAAGGATGATAATAATTGTTTACTATTTTTTGTTTTGTTTTGTTTTTCTTCCAGTACCAGGAATCAAACTCATGACCTTGTGCTTGCCAGGCAGGCGCTGTGCTGCTGAGCTAAATCCCCAGCCCCTAAGTGTACTATTGAGGTTTAAATGAGTTAATACATATTAGAATAATGCCTGATATTAGTTTACGGTGTCAATCTTATTAATAAAATACCCTCTCCGTATTTCCTTTCTTTCTTTTTTTCTTTCTTTATTTCGAGACAAGGTCTTGCTATGTAGTCAGGCTGGCCTTGAACTCACTATGTAGCCCAGGCTGGCCTTGAACTCACAATGAGCATCCTGCCTTAGCCTCCTGAGTGCTGAGATACAAGTATGTGACACTATGCCTGTATCCATATTTGCTTTGAATATGTTGTTTTGTTTTGTTTTTGGGGGGTATCTGGAATCGAACTCATGACCTTACACTTGCCAGGCAGCAGCTCCATCACTGGGCCACATCACCAGTTTTGTTTTGTTTTTGAGGCAGGGTCTCACAATGCAGTCCAGGCCAGCACTGAACTTGTTAGGTAGTCAAGGCTGGTCTCGAACTTGTGATCTTTTTGCCTCAGCCTCTGCACTAGCTGGAATTACAGGCATGTGCTGCTATGCCCAGCTGTAATTGCCAATTTCTGAGGCATAATTGTTCCCACTGTGGCCAGTTTGAAGCTACGAACATAATTTCAACTTTCAGACTTCTGGAACGTGTAGCCATTGTTCCAGCACACCACTGCATTTCATCCTGTTAAGTCTCACCTTGTTGAGTGTCAGCCAACTTGCTGTTGCCTGTTGAGAACAGATGGTTTCCATTGATTTTGTTTGCTTTGTTTCCGTAGGGGCTGTACCAGCTCGCTATGGATATCATAATGATGCTCCGGGTGTGTAAAATGTTCCGCCAAGGCCTCAGGGGATTCCGCGAGTATCAAATCATTGAACCTGTTTACAGAAGAAACCCTATCTTCTCCTTCTGGGATGTAAGCAGTTGGGCTTAGTAGGGTTATTAGGATTTAAAAGGGTCCAGTCAATAGTACTCTGCTTCCCAGCCTATGCTTAGAACCAACTGAGAGAGAAGACGGAAGATAAAATAGATGCGAGATCCAACTGTCTCTTTGTTGAGGGCTGGGGATTTAGCTCAGCGGCAAAAGCGCCTGCCTGGCAAGCGCAAGGTCGTGAGTTCGATTCCTGGTACCGGAAAAAAACCAAAAACCAAAACCAAACCAAACCAACTGTCCCTTTGTTAATGACAGACATATGTTGGACAGGGTGTGGCTTATATCATCTGATACTGAATCCCAGAATCAGCCAGACTTTCGTGTCTGGTGGCAGGCCACGCTGGAAGAGGCAGGCCTCTAGTGTAGTAGTGCAGTAGCAGGCCTGTTGTCCTAAGCTCGGGGAGAACAGAATATGGGCTGAGAACAGGGGAAAGGGGTGCTCATGCGTAGCTCTCCTTCCGAGCTCATCAAGGAGCTTGTCCTTCCTCTACGTGAAAGGAGAAACTTCTCCCAAGACACCGCAGTCCTCTGCTCCTCTGTGTGGAAAGAAACTAAGGAGTGAAGAAGACATTGTCTCCTTCCAGCCGAGCTCCCAAGAGCCAGCAGGAGTCTGGGAGTCACAACAGAGCTGAGGTTTCCCACCTTCCTTCTTTCCTTCCTTCCTCTCTCTTTCTCTCTCTCTGGATTTCTTTATTTCAATGAGTACATGTTTGCAATACTTGAATTTTGCATTCATCTTAGGGAATAGGTACATGTACCCGACACATCTTGCTTCTCTTTATTCCCTCGTCCTTGGGCTCTTGAACCCTTTCCCATTTGCGAAAGATCCTTCTCCCTGTTTCCTCATATCAGTTCCTTATTTTGCTAGCTACACTTTGCCTTACTCAAGTGAGAGATACCATATGATATTTAAGCTTGTGCATCTGACTTATTTCACTGAACATTATATTTTCCAGTTGTATCCATTTTCCTACAAATGTCTCAAATTTATCCTTCTTTATAGCCAAGTAGTATTCTATTATGTATAGATACTACATTTTCTTTATCCATTCGTCTGTTGATGGATGTACAGGCTGCTTCCAAGAGTTAGCTATTATGAGTTGTGCTGCTATAAATATTGATAACCATGTGTTACTCTGATATGATGTCTTTAGCTTTTTTGAGAAGATATCTAGAAGGGGAGTAGCTGGGTCAAATGTAATTTCTATTTTTTAGTTCTTTGAGAAATCTCCACACTAATTTCTGTAATGGTTGTACTAGTTTATACCCAACTAACAATATAGAAGTGTTCTTTTTTTCACTGCAGCCATACCAGCATTTATTATTTGCTCTTTCTGATTGCCATTCTGTCTGGTATAAGGTGAAGTCTTGCCCCAGGCATGGTGGTGCACACCTGTGATCCCAGCACTCAGGAGGCTGAGGCAGGAGGTTCTCTGGGAGTTTGAGGCCAGCCTGGGCTACATAAGAGAGTCCAAAGCCAGCCTGCACTGCACAGTGAGACACTGTCTCAAAAAATGAAAAAAAAAACTTAGTGTTGTTTTGATTTGAATTACTCTAATGGCCAGAGACACTGAACATTTTTTCATATGTTTAGTGGCCATTTGTACTTCTGAGAAGTGTGTACTCATTTCTTCTTCCCTTTTTGATTGGGTCTTTTTGGGGAGATACAATTTTTTTTTTTTTTTTAGTTCTTTATATATTCTACGTATTAGTCCACTAGCTGGCAGAATTTGTTTCCTACTTTATCTCTTTATTGTGTTGATTGTTTCCTTTGCTGTGCAGCTTTTTAATTTGATGTAATCCAATTTGTTGATTCTAACTGTTATTTCTTCTGCAATTGGAATTCTGTTCAGAAAGTCTTTGCTTACCCCAGTGACTTGAAAAAGTGTTTTTCCCATTTTATCGTGACAGAGTTAAGTGTTTCTGTTTTTAATATTTAGATCTTTGAGCCATTTTTAGTTTAGTTTAGTACATGGTGAGAGATATGGATCCAGCTTCAATCTTCTGCATATGGAGAGCCAATTTTCCCAGCACCATTTGCTAAAGAGGCTTTCTTCCAATTTAATTTTTGGCCCCTTTGTCAAAGATCAGATAGCTGAATGTGTTTGGGGTTATTTCTGTGTCCTGTGTTTGTTACACTGAACCATCTAGGTGTCTGTTTTTGTGCCAACATTATGTCATTTGTGTCACTGTAGCCTTGTAGTATAACTTGAAGTCAGATTTTGTGATGCTTCCTGCTTTGCTCGTATTGCCTAAGATTGCTTTTGCTATTCTGGGTCTGTTCTGGTTCTAAGAGCCGAGGCATTTTGAATGCCTCAAACTGTATACCATCTCTACTTTCTTTCCTGTCCCATCCACTTAAATGTCTGGAACATTTTGATGGTCTTGTTCACTATGATACCCTTCTTTCTAGATTTTTCTAGAAAGTCCCAACTCAAAATATTTTATCCCAGTAGTAGATCATGTGCCTTTTTTGGCTTGGAAATGGTGAAATGTTGGTCATCATTCTGTTAATTAGTGCTGGCCCACCCCAAAATATCTTTTGCGTGTTACCTAGAGCATTAGCATTTCCTTGGCTCATACCTAGACAAGCTCTGCCCGTTTCCCTCTTGTGCCAACAGTGACTAGACCAGGCCCTAGCTCCCTGCGTATAGGAATTTATTTTAAGGAGTTTCTGGAAGTGGTTTCTGAAGGGTTGTGGCTGAAGAGAGGGTAGGAGGCAACTTTGCATTGGTTTCTGAGTTAAGATATAGGAGAGAGTAAAGCCTTTGGGCCAGCTGGAAGATATGCCTCTTTGAAATTCAGATTCATATACGTATTTCAAGGCACTATGCTGGCCAAACCAGACAAGTATGGAGCGCTGTGGTTGAGCCATGAGGTGAGGAAAGGTGGAGTGGAAGAATTGTAACCCAAGGGACTCAGGTTGGCTCTCAGGAACGACATTCTGGTTTTCAGGGTGGAATGAAATGGTGAAGCAGTGGTTTCTGGAGGTCAGGAGGATGTGGCTGCTGGAAGACTTGGGCTGATGGATAGGGCAGGTAGAAACAGAAGACCCAGAATCAAGCTTGGTGTCAGAGATGTTGAGGCTAAATTCAGTAACATTGCCTTAAATAGAGCCGAAGCCTATGTAAGGGTACCATAGAGAGGTCACGTGGCTGTCAAGTGGGGATCTGAGGGCTTGGAACACAGAATCTAGTGGAGAGAGCCAGTAGAGAGACTGAATCTGGTTATTTCTGAGCACCACCTCTTCTTTCAGGAACCTCCCTGACAGGAACCACATGGATACTCAAGCGATAAAGGAGTGCGGGGAGAAGGCAGAGATGCATGTGGACATGAGTGAGCAATGTGAGGCCTGCCCAGAGGAGAAAACGGGTCTCTGGTTGTCTCATTCCTCCCCCAGCCTCTTCGTACATATTTTCTCTACTCTCTCCACATCATGTCTGGTGTGTCAGGAGATACGGTTACATTAGCTGATCCCTAACATCTCTTTACCTCTCCTCTCTTGCTCTAGCAAAATCAAGGTTCAGACCCCAAAGGGCGATTTACTTGCTGTAAGTGGTCCCTAGAAAAGTCCTTTGCTCATCTTAAATCCAATATGGGGCTTAATAAAATCTACTTTTGCTGGCTGTAATGGCACATGCCTACAATCCCAGGACTCCAGAGGCTGAGGCAGGAGGCCTGTCCTGAGTTCGAGGCCAGCCTGGGCTACTTAATGAATTCAAGACAAGCCTGAACTACAGAGTGAGATGCTGTCTCAAAAAAAAAAATCTGTTTTGTTCTAATGACTAAATGAAATAAAAGAGAACAGTGCAATTTACCATGCATGGCTCACTGTACCCGCCTAAAGCTTGGCTTCATTTGTTCCTTCTTTTGTATTCCTCTCTACTTTCCTGTTTGACTGCCTCTTTTCCCTCCTTTTTTCTCCATCCTTCTGTGTTTTCTCTGCACCCTCCCATCTCTTTCTCCACCCACATTTTTTGTCTTCATAATGATGTCGGTACTGAGCCTGGTTTGGTGCTCAGTTGGGGCTTTTGAGCCAAGGTAAACATGAAGGGCCCCGCTGGTGGGAGGTTTCCCCAAGGCCCAGGTAAACAGAAGGACTCAGAAGCAGAATTCCAGGAGCAGTCGCCCTCATTCTCCCTCCTGTCCCTGCCTCCTCTTTCAGAAAAGGAAGCAAGGCCGAATTACGTTTGATACCATGGACTTCATTGCAGAGAAGGTATGCATCGCTCTGACCTTTCTGTGGATTTCCTCTACAGTGGCCTGGAGAAAGCACCGGATTGTGCATCAGGAGAGTTGGTTTCCATCAAGGCTCTGCCACCAATGCAGTGTGTCCTCCTTGAGCAAGCCACTTACATTTTCTTATTTATAAAGTAACTGATGATAGTGATTCAGCTCGTCCCTGGCATTTGAAGGCTATGAGGCATCCCTGAACCAGTTGTCACTATCACTGAGTAGAACCAGCTGGATAGAGATCCTGGGCTTGGGCCTGTGGGAAAACAACAGAAAGCAAAGCAAAGCGAGGGTTTGAGAGGGCCAGACAGGAGAAAGGCAGGTGGTTGGAAAAACTTGGCCAGTGTGTGAATTCTGATTCTGCCCTAAACTATCCAAAAGAGGGTGGACACACCTATCCCCTACCTGGGTATTGGATGCCCTTCAAAGTTTTCTCATTCTAGCCAGGCATGGTGCATGCCTGCAATCCCAGCACTTGGGAGGCTGAGGCAGGAGAATCACCATGAGTTTGAGGCTAGCCTGGGCTACATGGTGAGCTCAAGGTCAGCCTAAACTACAGGGTGAGACTTTGTCTGAAAAAAAAAGTGTTCCCATTCTGATGAGGTAATGTCTTCGTGTCCATGTGAGGCTCTGGGATGTACAACTTGTTCTCTGAATTTCAAGCATAATTGTGATCTTTCTCACTTTACCCACCAAATCCTAAATATGAAATTAAAATTTAAAATCCAATTTTAAATTTAAAGGACTGTACCTATTTATAGGAGCTCTGAAGTTCTCTCTAATACTGGCCTGACTTGACCCTGGTCTGGAGTAGTCATGTTGGGTTTCTCTCAGGGAAAAGGGAAAGGACAGAACTTTAACACTGGTACTAGGCCCACCAGTGCCCATCTGTTGCCCCTCCCCTTGCTCCCGTGGGGCCCAATCTACAGCTTCTGTTGCCGGCCCCTCCTGGCCTCAAGATTTCTCATAGCCCCTCTTTCAGGAAGCTTAATTATGAAAGTCATCCATATTCTGTGTTTCTTCCGTTTTCCAACTAGTGTCTGACCTTGGGTGTTGTTGAAAATTACCTGCATTTCACCCTTCAGACACGAGAAAACAGGGCCTTATCTTCGAGCCCCAGAACCCCGGAGCTGAGGCAGTTCTGTGCATATCAGCTGAGGGAGAAAAAGCCATTGTTACAGACAGCCTACAGGTGGAGGTTCAGTGACTCCTGTCTGCTTAGCTGCAGCACAGACAAGGTGGTCCTGGCTGAGATAAGGGCGGGAGTCTACCTCCTTACAGTAAGATTGTGTAGAGCGGGTGTGGCAAGGCGCCCTGAGCCCTGGGGTTAGGAGCCTTGGCATGTGGCAGATCTACCTGTAATCCTGCCTGAGTTTCTGTATCTGTCAAATGGGAGTAATGCTTCTCGGATTAGGGAGGATGCAGTGAAATGGGCATATAAGATGCCTGGCACAGGGAGTTCGCAGTACATGCCCATCACTGTTACTGTGGAGAACAGGAAAGAGTAGAAGCAAGAGTTTGGGGAGTTGCTGGCTGGCTCGTGGTGGACACTTCTGGATCTTGTGTGTCACTCTAGTCTCCTCTCCCTAGGGTCACTTCCCTCCAGAAGCCATTAAGATCGTGCAGAAGCAACCTTCCTGGAGGGAGGAACACGAGATCCAAGTCCTGTGCAACATCCTGCAGTCTCTGGAAAGCTTTCGAACCTACTCCGAGTCTCTGCAGGTGCTCCTGGCCAAGGTCATGCGCTTTGAACGGTCAGTGAAAGGCACAGCCCTCGGCCCCTGGGGTGGGCTGGACAGGAAGAGCCTGGCTGGGCTGTGAAGATGGACTGTATCAGGCCCTGCCCACCCTGCTGCAGGGTATCAGCTGTGAGGCTGTCAGTTCACCCTAGTGCTGACTGTTGCAGGGGCAGCACAGCTTCTCATTCACTGATTGAGAGTCTTCTTATAAGTAAAGAGACACTGGATCTGGAAAGGTTCTCTGAAAGAATCTGGTCCAATTTCTTCATTTTTCTTCTTTTTCTTTTTGAAGCAGTGTCTTGCTGTGTAGTGTAGGCTGACCTTGGAGTCACTGTGTAGCCCAGACTGACCTTGAACTCATGATGATCTTCCTGCCTCAGCCTGCTGAGTCTGGGATTATAGGTGTACACCACCACACTTGGCAAATTCCCTCATACTTCAGATAAGGAAACCAAGATCGGCAGGCACTGACTGAGTCACCAGTGCCTTAGTTCATTTTCTGTTGCTAATAACATAATGACACAGACTGGGTAAGTTATAAAAAAGGCAGCTTGTTTTAGTTCATGCTATAGACCAAAGTCAGGGGCCACATTTAGTGTTAATAACCTTTGTACTGGCGGAGCCCCAAGGCATCATATGGTAAGAGACAGGGAGAACATATTTATATCTTTTGATCTTTCTTGTCTTTTTCTTTTAAAGGTTTTATTGCCCACTTACTAGTGTTGGTTCACAGAAAAAAAAAATTAAGATACGCAACTGACCAACAGTTAGTGGTGACATTTTTAGTTTGCTATGGTGAGATGATTGTGGCCTTCATACAGAATAAATGTGTGACATCTTGTGACCTCTGTACAGAGTAAATGTGAGGCAGCTTATGTACAATCCCATATATTTCCAGCTTGGTCCTCCGCCACTGTTTTTATTATGTGTTTTTATCCAAATCCATGGAGACTAGGGATATAGCTCAGTGGCACAAGCACCTGCCTGGCAAGTGCAAGATCCTGAGTTCAATTCCTGGCACCAAAAAAACCCCCCAAAAAAACAAAACAAAAGAACCCAACCAAGTCCACTGAGTAGTGGGACAATTTTGCTTTTGTTTCTTGGCAAGAATTGCTTGATTCTGAAAGTCTTTTAAAAAGACATGGTCAGGATGGGAGGCAAGATGGCTGACAAAAGCAGGAGCACTGTCTAAGGCCACCGATACTCCATCATGGGGACCCCATCCTGATAACCTTACTGACTTTTGTTTTGGTGCTTGGATTCAACTCAAGGTCTTGCTTGTGCTAAGCACAGTGCTGTGCCACTGAATACATCCCATCTCCAACTTTAGTCTTAAGTATCTCCCAGAGATCCTACCTCTAAACATCACAGTAAGCTTGAGTTTCTACCCTCTTAATACCTCACAAGGGGATTAATCATAGGAGCTTTGGAGGGGACAGTCTATATTTAAACCACAGCACCTCAACAATAAATAGTAGAGCCAAGATTCAAGTCCAGGCCCCAAAAGCCAGAATGGATCACATGTGATTATAAAGTACCTAGGTAGGTACTAGAACAGGGTCTGCAAACTTGAACGAGAGAATAATTATATCTCTTATTTTCATTAACCTCTAAATGAAGTTTATCATTTCCTTCTGTCGTGAATGTGGGTAACAGGCTACTGTAAAATTAGCCAAACCTTGTCTTTTTCACCAAAAGGAATCACAGATAGTTTCGATTCATGTTCAAGCTGTTACAGGTTTTGTGAAAATAATTTATGTTAATCACTTCTTCAAAACAGGGTATTTATTGATCTGCTAGATCTTGTTGTTCATGACTTTAGTAAAATGGACATACATTGCTATATCCCAAATTTAGGTTTTAAAAAAAAATTTGTTAAGTGTCATTCTGCTGGATTTTATTTTTATTCTATGAAGTTTCCACTAGAATTTTAAGTGGTCTATGGCACAAGAAGTACCCTGTAAATACCTTGTACTGGAGTTGTCTACGAGGTACATGTGGAAATACTGCCATTGCTGGGACATCACAGTGGCTTCACAGCAACAGCCTAGCAGGATATTTGTGATTAGCTCTGTTTGGGAAATTCTGGATGTAAGATCAGTGTAGGTTTGTACGCTGATATCCTCCATGGTGGCTGTAGTCTACCATGTAAACACAACTACCTACAGGTTAGGATCCTGTGTAACTGGTACAGGACTTTCTATGACCAGTGCAGGATCCTCTGGGGCAAGCTGGCTTGGTCATGAGTTTATAAAAGAGGTTAGTTTTTAGGTCTTGCTATGTAGTTTAGGCTGGCCTTGAACTCACTATGTAGTCCAAGCTAGCCCTGAACCCTCAGCAGTCCTCCTGCCTCAGCCTCCCAAGTGCTGGGATTATAAGTGAGCTTCACCATGGCCATCGAGGTTGCATTTCAACAGGTTGATTTGACAGGGAGAGGTGTAAATCAGGACATTCCAACCAAAGAGAAAAAGAGTGTTGTCTGTGAAGATTCCAAAGCAGGCAGAGTGGTATCAAGAGGAGAAAATGAATTATGGAGCTAGAAGCTAGCAATTTAGTGCCACGTCTGTCCCAGCATGACTTCAAACAAGCCACTTAACCTTTTTTGAACCTCAGTATCCTCATCAGTGAAGTCAGGATAATAATATGGATTTTCTGGATTGCATTAAGGATAGTAAGGTTTGGGGGAAGATAAGGTGGCGATTGCTAAAACTGCCTGCTAGTTGTTGACTATTTCTGAGACTGGGAATTAGCAGCCTGGAGGTGGTTCTTCCATTTACAAGCATGAGAACACTCAGCCCAAGACAATTGGTGACTCCTGTTTATGAGAACTCCTCGGATAGTCCTTCAGCTGCAGGCTCGGATGGTTCAGTGTTGCCAGAACCTCTTGGTTGGTGGTTTCTTGTGTTCTCTTCTCTTCTCCCCTGTCCCCTCTCCCTTCTCCCCTCTCCCCTTTTTCTTTCTTTTTCTGATAGGGTCTTGCTAAGCCACTAAATTGCCCAGGCTGGACTCACGCTTGTGATCCTCCTGCCTCAGCCTTCTGAGCGGCTGGAATTACAGACAGGCGCTACCATAGCTGGCTTTTCCCTGTCTCTTAACACTTTTCTCATATAAGTCTTCTCAGCCGACTTCTCCCCTCATAGTGGCGAGATGGCTGCCATGGTCACAGATCCTCACACCTTCCATCCTTCCAATGTTACTCTGATGAGAAAGAAAGAATACCTCTTTCTAGGCATTCAAGTCAGAACCTTGGGATTAGTTCTTCCTGAGCCAGACTGGCCTTTCCTTGAATCATCAGTGAAGTCTGAATTTAAGAACTAAATCGTAGTTTTCCCTGGGCCTGGATGCCTTTCCTTTAAGAATGCCCAGCTGGGTAGTGAGCCGCTAGGGATCATGTGACTGTCTGTCTCTTTCCCAGGCATGTTCATATTTTCTCATAGACAAGAGAAACTAAGGATCAGAGGGGATGTGAGCTGCTCAGTGTCACATAGCCAAGGGCAGAACCAGGATTTGGATCCTAGTCTGACTCTGATGCTGGAGTCTGTTCATCATCTAGCTGCTCTCCTAATCCACCCACTGCTTTCAGCATCTCTTCACTTGTTTATTCAACTGTTGTTCTCCGAGCATTTACCGTGTGCCTGAGCCCAGACAGCACTGAACCAGACTGACGAAGGCCGTGCTCTCAGGAGGCTTCAGTCTAATTGAGGCGGGTGGCTGGATAGGTGTTAGTGAAGGGGCCCAGCTGGATGGGCAGAGACGTGCTGCAATGAAGTCCCTTCTCATCCAGGTCTGTGCTTTCACACCTCCGAGAAAAGAGAAGTCTTCACAGCGTGGGTGGGCCTTCCTGTTGCTGGCAGATCAACTATTTATGGTCTTTCCCCAGGTTCGGTCGCAGGCGTGTGATTTTCAGGAAGGGGCAGAGGGGCAGCAGCTTTTACTTCATCTACTTAGGGACAGTCGCAGTGACAGAGGATGAAGATGGCAGCAGTGCCTTCCTAGACCCCCACCCGACATTGCTGCAGAAGGGCAGTTGTTTCGGGGTAAGTTTAGGGGAGGGGCCTGGCTTCTAGGGCTGGAACTGGGGTGAACAGGAATCCTGCTCAAGCCTCTTAGCCAGGCCCTGTTTGGGCTCTAGTGCCTTTATCTGTCAAATGCTGAACGAGTTGGATCAGGAAATGTTCAAAGCCGACCTTTTCACGTGATGCTTAAGGAGTATGCTACCTGCATAACCCCTTGAGACACAGTGACTCCACAGTGAGGCTTCTCCAGCTTCCTCTTCTCTGGCTGTCCAGGCCTGTTGCCTCTTTTTCCACCAGCAGCAGGTGACGGGGTCGGGGAACATAGCGGAGAAGCAGGAGTATGGCGGGGGCCAGGGAGCCCGCAGTCTGGAGGGAGGTGTTTCGGGAGGGAGGTAGAAAGGAAGGTGTGTGCAGGGATGTGAGCAGAAAGCTGGACGTGGCCTCACACTTGGCCTTGTTCCTGTCTACCCAACAGGAAAAGGGCCTTCTGAGTGCGTTGGTAAGGTGGGCCACTGTGGTCTGCATGGAGGAGACGGAGTTCCTGGTTGTCGACCGGGAGGACTTCCTTGCTAATAAACTGGATGAGGAAATTCAAAAGGACAGTCAGTATCGGTTTGAATTGTTTAGGTAACTCTACTTCATTCAACATCTTTCTTCCTTTTTTTGCTCGTTGATGCTTGACTTTTTCCTAGACTTGGCAGGAAACATCCCAGGTGCTGTTCTCTCTGCCTGGAGTGCTCTGAAAAACCAACCTCCCACCCAACTTTTCTGTCTAGACAAATCCCTACTATCCCTTCAGGTCTCAGCTCAATTGACTTCCTTGTGGGATAGTAAAAATAAGACCAGCCAGTAGATTGAACACATGCTGGGCCAGGCAGAGTGATAAACACTTGTCACATCTAATCTCACATTCAATCCCACGAGGTTGGTTCTCTTATTTTCCTCACTTTATAGGTGAGAGAAGCAAAGTTTAGGATAATGACGTGCTCAGAAAGTCTGATTCAGAAGTCCCTGGGCTTTACCACGCTACTTCAATAACCCACCGCATCTGTCCTCACCCCAGGATAAAAAGGATACCCCAGCTATGCCTCTCACATCCTGGTTTTTTTTTTTTTTTTTGGTTGTTTGTTTGTTTTTTGTCTTTTGAGACAGGATTTGGCTATGCAGTTCAGGCTGGCCTTGAACTTTGTAGTGCAGACTGGCCTCGAACTCACAGTGATCCCCCTGTCTCCCAAGTGCTGGGGTTACAGGTGTGAGCCACCACACTCAGCAATCCTGTGCGTTTGTTTGTTTGCTTGAGACACAGAACTGTGGACTGGGTTGGACATCTTTATTCAGCTGCTCAGCTCTAGTCCGTCTGTTTAGGCGCTCTTGTGGGCCCAGCTACTGTACACTCACAGTAGTCCTTGGCTGCTGGGTCTCCTTTTCTTGAAGCCATCCACAGCTGTGTAGTTATATTTACACCAAAATGCATGAAAGTGGCCATGTGCCAGTAACAACCTTGGTTATATGAGTTATTTGCACTGGCCAGCATTGACCTTGGCTACAGAAGTTATTTACATTAGGATGCTGAGAGATGTACCTGCGCTGGGATCCTGTCGACACAGGACCCACTGTCTCCCAGATCTCATTCACTTCATTCACTACCAAAGTAGTGAGTTCGAGGCCTGCCTGGGCTACACAGTGAGTTCGAGGCCACCCTGAACTACATAGCAAGACCCTGTCTCAAGCAAACAAACAAAGACACACCAAAAAGAGCAGAAGAGCATGTTGCCTTTGGGTACTAAGATCTAGGCACCTTATGTAATACAAGGTGATGAATTCTAACAAGATTTTCCCTGCAGGGGCATGGATCTATTTCGGTCATGGTCTGATGAGAGGCTCCAGCAGCTGGTAACCCTGGGCAAGATAGAGAAATTCCCATACGGGCAGCTGATCACAAAAGACTTGGTAGAGTCATCATGCATCATGTTTGTCTGCAAGGTGAGAAGTCCAGCGGTGATGGTGGTGGGGTGAAGCTGTGAAGAACATGCCTAACCTAATGTCTTGTGGCCAAACTGTTTCACAACACAACCAGTTCACTTCATGTTCTGCCCTTCTCACCCAGGCCATCAAAGGCAGACATTATACTTGGGCCTGCCTGCCTCAGAGTGTTGCTGTGAACTTTAAGATATAGAGTGGTTCCCCACTAATGGGGGGCACACATTCCAAGACTTTCAGTGGATATCTCAAACCTTAGACAGGACCTCACCCTCTATGCTATTTTTTCCTATACATACCTGTCTATGATAAAGTTCACTTTATAAACTAAGCACAGTAAGAGATTAATAGTAACCAATCATAAAGAGATTAATAACAGATTAATAATAACCAATCATAAAATAGGACAATATACAGTCATAAAAGTTATGTGAATATGGTCTCTCTCAAAATATCTTGTACTGAACTTACCCTTGTAATGATATAAGATAGTTAAAGAAAGCAGCTTCTCTTTGACTTACCTAAGTTGTCAGCATTGGTACTCTAGTTCTTGGAGCCATTATTAAGTAAAATAAAGGTTATTTGAACACAAACACTGTGATACTGAAGCAGGAGATAAACAGGATCCCGAACAAAGCCATGCAGACACGGAGTAGGAGTAAAGGGTGTCTTTATTTGCCGGTGTCCCTCGGGGGACTAGTGTCTGCCTGGGAGCCCTGAACAGGGTCTTGCTTTTACTTTATACCGTTCTTCTTTTATAAGGCAACCTTGTATTGGGGAGCTGTTGTTAGGCATGGTTACATAAGCGGAAGGGAATGGTTGGGAGCATGAACACTAGCAAAGGGAGAGTGGAGAGTTCTGGCAGAACTTTCCAAGTCTGCTGTGCTCTGCTGACATTATATTTATTATAGCTGTACCCATACATGGGTATAGCAAGCTTAACTGTACAGTTAACCCATAGTTTCCCAATTTTACCTCTCTCAATACTATGACAGTTGATCTGAGAGTGGAGAGAGCTACCAAGTGACTTGACAGAGGTATGATTTCACATCCCAGTAGGACAGAGAGGGATGGCAGGAGATTTAATCATGCTACTCAGCGTAGTACATAATTGCCCAGATATGGCGGTGCATGCCTTTAATCCCACCTCGCAGGAGCATTACCATGAGTTTGAGGCCAGCCTGGGTTTTATAGTGAGTTCAAGGACAATTTGAACTACTTAGTGAGACCTTGTCTCAAAATAAAACAAAACAGCTGGGCATGGTGGTGCACGCCTGTAATCTCAGCACTTGGGAAGCTGGCCCAGGAGGATCACTGTGGGTTCGAGACCAGCCTTGGCTCTGTAGTGAGTTCAAGCCCAACCTAAACTACGTAGCAAGACCCTGTCTTGAAACAAACATGAACAAAATTATACACAATTTAAAACTTACGCTTTATCTCACTGCAGTCTCAAAAAAGTCTCAAAGAGGTTGGTAGGGACAGGGAGCTGCGGGTGGGGAGCGCCAGCCTTCTGGCTGGCTAGCTTCCTGCC